GTGAGGAGAGTACTGAGAATGTCAAAGGAGTTTTAGAATCTTTTTCACAAAAAAGATTTTGCTCTTGACAGATGTTTTTTGCCGTAAGTCATAACCTCATGTGGCTTAGACTTCATCCAAAACTGAAATCTTGATTTTCCTCAAACCTGCTTCTTCTCTAATCTTCTCTATATCAGGAAGCAACAGCACCATCCACCCGCTTCTCCCTCATCACCCATCTCAAATCCGTTAGCAAATAATGTGTGCCTGTTCCTTCTAGGACTCCCTTATTGCCACCACCTGTTCATACCAACACTCTCTCTCACCTGAACCACCATGTTAATTCCCAGTTGACCTCCCCTTCCTGTGACTGTCTCCTCAGCAACAGTCTGTCTTTGGCAACGTATCTTGTTGTTTGCAAATCAGAAATATGATGATGTCACACTTACTAGCTGCAATCTTGGCCAAGTTAATGAAATACCTTAAGATCCCATTTCCACTTCTGTAAATGGAAGGAGTGATTTTCCATGCTTCTGATTTGATTTGAAGATTAAATGACTAATGTTAAACATTTAGGTGATGCCTATTCTGCAATCCCTACTTAATGAACTCGGGCCCATAAGATGGCAGCTACAATCATTATCATTGTCACTCTCCTAATTAAAGTGGATTGCTATTAGAATAAATTCAAAACGTGTCATCTCTTGTATCTTGCAGAAGCTACCTGCCTCTCCTTGCCTGCCTTATGTTTGAAGCTTGTTATGTTTCGGCCACTAGATCTTATTTTAGTTTCTCATGCATTCCAACCTCTCCAGGACGGTCACAACGGCACCTTCCTATTCCTGTCACTGGATTCTTTTTTTTTTTTTTTGAGACCGAGTTTGCTTTTTTTACCCAGGCTGGAGTGCAATGGCGCGATCTTGGCTCACTGCAACCTCTGCTTCCTAGGTTCAGGCAATTCTCCTGCCTCAGCCTCCTCAGTAGCTGGGATTACAGGCACGCACCACCATGCCCAGCTAATTTTTTTTTGTGTTTTTAGTAGAGACGGGGTTTCAACATGTTGACCACGTTGACCACGATGGTCTCGATCTCTTGACCTCGTGATCCACCCGCCTCAGCCTCCCAAAGTGCTGGGATTACAGGCTTGAGCCACCATGCCCGGCTGTCACTGGATTCTTAATGTAAATATCACTTTCTCAGAGAGGCCTTCCCTGACCACTCATTTAAAGAATATTCCCCACAAACTCACACCCTACACAATCACAGAACTCTGCTTGTTTCTTTTATAACAATTCTCATGGTATGTTATTTATTAATGTATTTATTTCTACATTTTTGTTAGAATATAACTTCCAGGAGAGAGATATAAGCCTGTCTCCTTCACCACTGTGCAAATATTGATCTTCTATAAACATTTAAGAAGAAAAATGAAATATCACAGCTATTTGCCAATTTTATTCAAATTCTGATACATTCATTTAAATTCAGCAAACTCTAGGTGGTCAGTAAGTAGACTCACTCATTCTTCTGTCCATGTATCCATCAAACATGTATCAAGTACCTTCTGAGTTAGGCCTGTGCAGATCATAGAGGATCAACAGCCTTGATAGTTGCTTTCGAAGAATTTATAACATAATTGCATAAGTTGTCATTTAAAAGTACATATCAAAAATATACAGATCAATGAGTCAATATACTTATTTCCTTCAGGCTTACGTTTGAATTTTCTTTTTCATTAAAACATTCATCATATAAAATAGCACCTCTAACTGGCGCCATCAGTTATATAGTAAACATTTATTGAACATGTACCAGTTGCTATATTAAGCAATGAAATTCTACTTGGATTTCTTTTTCCTGCTACATTTCACTTTTTAAGAAAAAGAAGCAAAAATCACACAAATCAGTTATCAGATATTCTGATGTTTTAAAGTTTTCAGGTTTTGTCTTGGGATCTGTATGCATATATCATGTTCTGCCTGGGCTCCAGTCTCCACAGGAATTCCTGTTGACCCTGATACACTGCAAGGTCACTCATACAAGGGAGATTATATTTTACCCAGTATGCTAACTATATCCAGAAAATATGTAGAGATATAGTCAAGAAATTTTTCAAAACTAATTATTTTAAAAAAAAACATTTCTGCCTGTAAAGAGCTTAAACCTTCATAATGCAAAGAACGAGGGCTTTTACGAGTTCAGCCTCACTTGCTTATTTAGTTCTCTTTAAGATTATGCATGCATTTAGAAATTGCTACCATCAGATGGTAAAATAATGATATTTTCCTGGGCCAAACCAACAGATTTTCACAATATATTATTAATTCAGACAGTTCTACTGGATTGTCTTTATTACAAATGAGAACATTAATTAAAACTTCCAAAATGAAGTCATTTTTAAAATACACAAACACCTATCCTGTTTAAAAAAAGAAAGAAAAGTAATTTAATAATTTGTTAGTAAAGTAACATGGGGGTGATAAATGTTACTATGGAAAGAAGAAGATATGAATGCACTTAAATGATCTGCTAATAACTGCGTGATCTGTGGCAATTCTACCCCTCCAGACTCAGTTTCTATATTGGAAAAAAATAGGTAAAACAACTTGTATAAAAAGATTTCTATAAATCTTACATTTCTAAAGTTACAGGAATTCAATGCTATTTAATTGAACATTGGCAGTGGGTTTTAATGCAATTAACTTTTTTATTAGGTGTTAAAACTTTTTTATTATGGGTTAATTTATTATTATTTATTATTATTTATTCTGTTAAATTTGTCTAAAGGTTTTCTTTAATAAAGAAACATTTTTGGACAGAAAAAGGAAAATGAGGTCCAAGAAAAACAGAAGTGGGGTACAGAAACAGCCGGATTGGTTACAGCTCAGCATCTGCTTTAGTCAGACAAGGTTTGAACAAATGGCCGCCAGTGATTGGGCAAAGCTCTCTGATTGAAACACGAAGATGTTACAGTCTGTTTACACCTCATTAGCTCATAGTTCACTGTATGGAGAAACCTTTAGAGCGAACTTAAAACTGGTAAGAAGGCAGCTTTAGGCTAAACTTAACACTGGTAATTCACTTGCCTCCTAAACTGTGAATGTAACTACCATCACAAACTTTAACACCTTCGAGAAGAGAATTTGTTTTTCCTGTTCCTTTATTTTTTTAAAAAAGAAATAATTAAAAAGATAACATATACTTTTTCCTCTCATATACTCTAGCTTTTCTATCTTTTCATGTGCATGATTGGTGGGGGGAGAAGAATGGGGTAGGGGAGAGAGAGAGACAGAGAAAGAGAAATACAAGTTACAAGGCAGAATTATTGTTCTGTTTGCATGAAACCCATGGATCACTTTCTCCACAGCAGAAATCTTTTCAGTAGCCTCAATCCATGTTTTGGCTTTATTTATTTATTTATTTTTATTATGCTTTAACTGGATTATGGAATAAAACAAAATTTCAATTTGATTTCTGTTCAATATTGTTTTTCTCAAAGGGATTGTAGCTTTTTCCTACTAAACAGTCAAATTTACCTTCAGTGAAAACACTAAAAGAAAATTGAACAGGAATTTCAACATAGAGTGACTTTGTCATAATAAAAGCAAGTTAGATATACATGGGAAACTTTAGCAATAAAGTGCTTTATATCAGTGGTCCTGATGACCACTGTGTACATATATGTTTGCACACTAAGAAATGGACTTTTGCATTTAAAGCAAATGAACTTTCAAATAGAGAGATAGTAATTCAGCTCTGAACAGAAGTCAATCACTATGTTATGACACAAAGAAATAGAAGTTTAGGCCTGGCCATCAAGACTCTCAGTTGACTTTTAATAGCTTTGCAAACTGAGTTGGCAACAAATATTTTCAAATGTGAAGAAAATCAGGAAACATCTCACCTGATTCTACTTGGTAAAAAATTTGTTATGAGTTTATTTAGGGCTCGTCATGAAAACTTCATCCCTTAGTTATGAAACTGAGTTGGCAACAAATATTTTCAAATGTGAAGAAAATCAGGAAACATCTCGCTTGATTCTATTTGGTAAAAAATTTGTTATGAGTTTATTTAAGGCTCGTCATGAAAACTTCATCCCTTAGTTATGACACTATGTCCTAACATGCAGAATCAGTGCAAATCTTAGCTGCTTTTTAGTGAAGCTCAAGGGAAAAGTCTTGATGACCAACATAAGGAAGAGTCCATTTTAACATAGCAGCAATACATTTATGAAATCCTAGCTGGAGCCAGTTCAGACATGGAAATAGGATGTGCCTTGTAGCTCAGTAGGGAAAAAAGAGCCACTTTTCTCATTGGACTTGTGGGGATTGGGAACAGGCAGCTGGGTTCAACTAAGTAGCTGAGCAGAGCCATCTTGCTTCCGGGAATGGAATAGTCGCTACGAGGTGGAGCTAGACACTGACTCAGCAGTGAGAGGAAGAGAAGCAGCAGCCACTGAGGAAGAGCACATCATCTACAGAGCAGATACAAATCCTTTAGGTAGTTGTCTTTTGAACTTCACTTTATATTCTACCTCTGTGGAAATGTTAAGTGCCTCCATTATAAATAACTTATAAATAATACTAACATAACACGTATAACACATTCCTGATATTTGCAAATAAAACTGTCCAGAAATTTTAAAAGGAAAACCAAACATACATTTAATACATTTATAAGAAATACCTTTTTAGAAAATAAAATGTATATGTTTTGTATATGTTTCAAAATTTGATGAGCATCTAAGATGTGGAATAAGCCTACTTTTTCAAAGTCTGATTGGCAAAGGAGAGAGTCCTAATTTGCAGATTCCATCCAATATATGCCAGCCATTCTCTGGGTGATTCACTGAGATGAATAATACACCCTGCCCAAACTCTAGGATCCCCCACTCTACAGTGGAGTGTTAGTACATAAGCATCCAATATGCTGGCACCCAAAAGTGCAACGGTAGCACAGAGGAAGTAAGGATTCTGCTTGGAAGGAGAGAAAGGAGAGAAAGTAATAAGATTTAAGGTTACCTTCCAGGATATACCTTGGGTGCGTATCTCTCACTGTTCTCCTTTAGCACAAAATCCACAACAGCATGAAAGTCTGCAAACAGAGAACAGTATGCCAGTGTCATTTTTAGATGCATAAACTTTGACATCACACATAACAGTGACATCTAAGGAATCACTCCCTCACTAACATTCAGTTTCCTTACCTATAAGGTGAATGTCGTACATAAACACCTCAGACTTTGGAGCAAAATTATATGAGAGTTTGTGTGTATAGTACTTTATGTAGTAGCTAGCATGCAGTAAGTACAATTACTCTAGGAAATTATTTTTATTTTCTAAAGAAATAGTAGCTATCGCTTCACAACAGAACATTTAAGGATTCTTTAATAGCCCTATGAGACTTAGAGTATGACATGTGAATGGAGTGGCTGTGAAGAAAGAGGCCAAATAAAGATTACACAGCAAAGTTCCATTAATGCCCCACAAAGGAATTCCAACTTGATGCAAATGTAATGGGAAAAACCCAGCGAACATGACTATGTGCTTTGGAACGTTAAATCTAGGGACAATTGGAAGATCATATGGAGCAGGCAACCAATTGAGAGGCCTTTCACTAGGGGAACAGTTTCTGCTATGAAAGCAGTAAGCCAGTTTTTATAATTTGTAGGTCATTTTGAATATTGTGATGGTTATTTGACTTTAATATACATTTTAACAGTTTCTACCATAATTCACATGATTTTTTTGTTAAGACAGCGATAAGTTTTTGCAAAAAAAAAAAAAAAATTGCCAGCACAAAGATGCCATTTTGGAGAGATGTATTATTATAAGTACAAAGTCTATTTTGGCCCAGGTGTGGTGGCTCACACCAATAATCCCCAACACTTTGGGAGGCCGAGGCAGGCAGATCCTCTGAGGTCAGGAGTTTGAGACCAGCCTGGCCAACATGGTGAAACCCCATCTCTACTAAAAGTACAAATATAGCCGGGCATGGTGGTGGGCATCTGTAATCCCTGCTACTTGGGAGGCTGAGGCAGGAGAATTGCTTGAACCTGGGAGGCAGAGGTTGCAGTGAGCCGAGAACATGCCATTGCACTCCAGCCTGGGTGACAAGAGCAAATATCCATCTCAAAAAGAAAGAAAGAAAAGTTTATTTTGAAGCTGACTTGGTATAAGCATCTTATGCTATAGTGCGAGATACACAGGCATCTAAAAAGTTAAAGCAGCAAGAAAAGAAAGCTGTTTTCTTTTGTGAATCTCAGGTCGGTGTACTTTTCAATATCACCTCAACATTTTCTCTTTTCCCCATGGGAAGATGTTTGAATACACATTGGTGGTATTCATACATTCATACATGTTTCAAAGTGAAATAATTTCTTTGTGAAATTTTAAATCATGAATTTGGATGGATAACCTTAAATATGAAAGACAGATGAAAGGAATGAAAAGATGTTAATATACATTTTTATAACGGTAATGTTAGAAACATAACTTTTGATTTTGATCTTACTCAGAATATCACTGACAAAAGGTAGATGACAACGTAGATATTTGATAGTTGTGTTCTAAAAGTGAAAATGTCATATCTAGTTGAGTATCTTAAGAAGCATAGATTGTTTCAGAACAACAAAACCACAAAGGCCTAACCTGGAGACAAACATTGTACTTTTGTGCCCTCCAGTGGCTATTTGGAGAGTATACCCATCCTCATAGAACCGTTCAAGAAACACAAAGTGGCTGAGAGCAAGCCAATGGCAAAGGAGACAAGCGAACTGTACACTCAGAGACCCTGAGGGTGTTTCTTTCTCTTTCATAAATTTACTGAAGTAAGAAGAGAGCTAGCAGATTTGGGAGATTCTTCAGACTGCTTCCAAGAATGCAAAGAAGCTACTGGTTTGGACTACATATGATTCCTTTGATCATTCTAACAAGCATTGCCAAGCAGAGAATGGAAGCTTAAATTTTTATTTCAATCAAAGACATTATGTATGGGACACAAATGACACTAAGCTTCTCACTCTGAGAAAGGTAGCTCTTCAGTCAGCAGACTCCCGTGCTGGGGATCCTTTGGGAAACCAGCAAATAGCTACTGGAATGCCAGGGAAATAGCTGCACATGCATTTTGCAGGAGCCTCAAAATCAAATCACACTGGCCGAGCAAAGAGTTTCGGCAATAAAATGTTAATTGAATAGTCAGAGTTTGATGGAACATCCAAATTAGAAAAATACCTGTTTATTAATATGGAAATTACCTATTTTCTCCTTTTTACCTTTCTGTATTAGTTTAGCCCCAGAATTAGATGCAGTTAATAGAGCCAGGCTGCAGAGCATCTTAGATAGATTTTGACTCCTATTTTATATGTGGCTGGAATTTCTGATATTATTTCTCCCATGGTCCTACAGGGAATAGAACCTTTGGCCTTTATATGGTTGTAGGTTTTGGTGGGGATTTTTAGATCGCTTTACTGTCTTGTTATGAGAATTAAATAGATCAAAATGTCTCTAATTTTCAAAATAACTTTTGTTTAAACCCAGTGACTGCTTAACTATTTTCAAAATACTTCTGAAAACTTTTTAGTTTTTCACAAATGGAAGCTTTCTTTTACTAGGCAGACAATTCTGTTTAATAAGTGGTTCAGATCCCGCATCAAAGTGAATTTAATAGCCTGGAGATCCTGTTTCACTTTCTGCGAGAACAAATCCTATAAATTGCATTCTATGTGCCATTCCATTTCCTGTCTGATGGTGATGCGGAAAAGCAGCTGTTGTGTGGGAACTGTTCAGAGCTGTGTTTCTCAAACCACAGGTCATGGAAGGGTGGTTAAGTAGGCCCTGTTTCCCTTTCTTCCAAAATAGCACCCAAGGCTCTTCTGACCTTGCCTCCTTCAACCTCTTAGTTGTAAGCCTACTAAGGAGTAAGTTTATCCAACTTCCTTTTGTTGTGTTTATTTTTAATTGGGAGGAATAAATACATATCCTGGGAGAGGCTAAAGTTATCTTGAGAGACATGTGGTATAAATATATATACACACACACAGACACATCCACATTCACATATATATACACACATTTTTAGGTATATATATACCTATACATATATATGTGTGTGTGTGTGTGTGTGTGTGTCTGTGTGTCCATGTACCTAAAAATTGTGTGTGTGTGTGTGTGTGTGTGTGTGTGTGTATGTAGAGTTCTCTTTTTTTTAGATTAGCATCAAATGAATCTCCTAGTCTAGGAACTAAAGCAAACCACATTGCTCTAATTTTAGTTCACCCTACCTTCAAACAATATTTTCACCCTGCCTTCAAATGGTACATAAAGAGATAGGTTTAATTATTCAATATGATATAATAGAAATAACAAGCCAGCATTAACCTAGGTTTACTCAAATAGCAAGGATTAAACAATATACAGTAGGTTGACAAATGCACTGTCTGCTACTGGATAGGAGACAACAGAAACAAGTTCCATTGGTGTCTTGGACATCTGATGGAAATGTACTAGCTGGGAAATAAACCGGACTTCAGCCCTGTTGATAGTGTAGACATCATCACGAAGGATATTTTAATAATTACACTGTGGCTAGCCCTTCTCTTCCTTCCTCCTTTACTCTTTAGTTGTAATTTGCATAATGAGTGAAACTCCTATTTTGCCTCTCATTCCAATGGCTTCTCTTAGAAAATTCATGGTTTAGAAAAATAGGTTAGGGCCAGGCACAGTGGCTCATGCTTGTAATCTCAGCACTTTGGGAGCCTGAGGCTGGCAGATGATGAGGTCAGGAGTTCAAGACCAGCCTAACCAACATGGTGAAACCCCAGCTCTGCTAAAAATACAAAAATTAGCGGGGCATGGTGGCACATGCCTGTAATCTTAACTGCTCAGGAATTTGAGGCAAGAGAATCAGTTGAACCCAAAAGGCGGAGGTTGCAGTGAACTGAGATTGCACCACTGCACTCCAGCCTGGGTGACAGAGCGAGACTCAGTCAAAAAGAGAAAGAAAGAGAAAGGAAGGAAGGAAACAGAGAGGGAGGGAAGGAAGGGAGGGAGGGAGGAAGGGAAGGAGGGAAGGAAGGAAGGAAGGAAGGAAGGAAGGAAGGAAGGAAGGAAGGAAGGAAGGAAGGAAGGAAGGAAGGAAAGAAGAAAGGAAAAAAATGGGTTAAAGTTTTGGGTTTCGGGTTTTTTTTTTTTTGTTGTTGTTGTTTTTAATAAAAACAGGATGAACTAACAGCTGACATCCATCAGAGAGACTGCTCTTTTGCCTGGCATTGAGGTCACAAGCACAAGGCGATGTAGAGACAGAACCTAAGAAATTATCGTAAAAAGCAATAAGATGACAACAGAAAGGACAAGTAGAAATTATTAAATGTTTTTAGACTTCTGGTTAAAAGAGATGTTTTTAAACCTTATCAAATCTGACCCACTTTCTTTTTGATTCAACATAAATGTACCCAATTGTATGAATAGCTGCAATAGAAAATTTTGGTTCACAGCAGCCGAGGCAGTAATCTCCAACCTGAATAGAAGTCTTAACTTCTAAACCATTTATACTTCTTAAAATTATATAAATTCTATGTTTATTACTTTAAAAATATTTGTTGCAAAAATAAATGTTTATTCTGGATTCTTAAATTAAAAATTTACAGGGATTAGGGTACTTTTTCAAGGTAAATTTCCCTTTTAATATCTTTCAAGTATTTGAAGAGCAAAGGAGCCGTTACTGTATTCAGGGCCTCCCAAGAAATGCAATTAGTGTTTATGAGTCTTATCTTCATTAATTAATATTTTAAACTAAACATTTTAACCATAATATAGTTAATGTTAATAATTTTAGTTTTCTGATATAAAATATAAGAGAATATTATGACCAGTCTCTGTATTCAACCAAAGCTAAATTCAACAGCAGTTAGATAAGCTGAAGATAAAAGATGAATGATAGCATATTTATTTAAAAATGAAACACAATTTTAAAAGGAAAAACAAAGAAGTATGTTCCCTTGTGGGACTTCTTTGTTTTCATAGTGCGCACTTGTAATACTTCTTCCTGTGTTCACACTAGATGTAAATGGGTTATAAAACATTTATATACTAGGA